GTTCACGGACATTTGCGTTGTTTCCACTTTTTGGCAGTTATGAATAATTCTGTTACAAAGAATTTTGTAAATGTTTCATTTTTTAGCCATAGAACAAAATCAGGATAGTATAATTCCTGTGTGTAGGTAACTTGACAGCCATTCTATATTAGTGAGGAAAATTGAAAGAGATGAATTGGAGAATGAGAAAAAGGAAAAAATCCCTCTCTTGTACAATGAACTGTTTACCAAAGACCAGCTGCCAGCAGAAAAATTTACGTTTACTGCTAAAGATAACTTTTAAATATTTCCAGAAGTGTATTTGCTATCTTATTTTTTTCAACCCAGTACTTCCAAATGCTTTTTAAGTTTAAATTTGTAGTATAATAATTAACAGTGTGTGCATGCTAAGTAGCTTCAATTGTGTCCAACTCTTTGTGACCCTAATTAATAGATCCAGTGTTATTTGTGAGTATAAAAAATTAGAGATAACACATCAGCATTTGGAAAAATTTTGTCAGTACTATCTTCAAGCGAGTCTGGCATTCATTAGCATGTCTGTATCACACAATGAGACTTTTAAATCCAGCCATTTGCTGCAGCTGATTTGCAATACTTGCTGCATTTCGGCTCTGGGGGGTCGGCTGTATAAAGAAGACGCTTGTTAACAACTTCCGCAGTGAGCCAAAGAGGGTCACTGAACGGCGAGGGAGATGCGCCCTGAGGCGCCGTGTGCAGCGGCTGGCACAGCTGCAGTGTGTTTGGAAACAAAAGTAAATTGGCGTGCAGCAATTAGAGATGAAGTGGGTTCTCATGAGCGAAAGCATCAAGCAGCCTACGAGTCAGAGCTGCGGAACCATCAACAGTGAGAAGCTGTTTACTCAGCAGTTGTAGCCACGCAGCAGGAGAAAGGTGGGCACACAGCAAAAAGCAGCGATTCCCTGACCTCAGCACGCAGCAGAAACACCTGCAGCTTTGTTCACCACAGTCTTCTGAGCTCCAACCCCCAGTGTCTGATTCAGCTGGTCTGGGGTGGGGCCCTAGAACCTCATTTTAACAGATTCCCAGGTGATGCCGCTGCTGGCTCAGGAACCACACTTTGAGAAACACTGGCTTTAAACTGTGGGCTTCCCTGGAGGCTCAGCTGGTAAAGAATCTGCCTGCAGTGTGGGAGACCTAGGTTCGATCCCTGGGTTGGGAAGATCCCCTGGAGAAAGGAAGGGCTACCCACTCCAGTATTCTGGCCTGTAGAATTCCAGGGACTGTATAGTTGATGGGATCCCAAGAGTCAGACACGACTGAGCAATTTTCAGTTTCAGCATAAAACTGAAGCCAGGTGTTCATCATGTCACATGTGTGTGCCTACCTTAACTGTGTTATCTTTAAATATATTTGTTGTTCAGTCACTAAGTCATGTCCAACTTTTTGCAACCCCATGGACTGCAGCACGCCAGGCCTCCCTGTCCCTCACCATCTCCTGGAGTTCACCCAACTTCATGTCCATCAAGTCAGTAATGCCTTCCAACCATCTCATCCTCTGCTGCCCTCTTCTCCTCCTGCCCTCAGTCTTTCCCAGCATCAGGGTCTTTTCCAATAAGTTAGCTCTTCATATCAGGTGGCCAAAATATTAGAGCTTCAGCATCAGCCCTTCCAATGAGTATTCAGGGTTGATTTCCCTTAGGATTGACTGGTTTGATCTCGGTGCTGCCCAAGGGACTCTCAAGAGTCTGAAGCTAGGCTTCAGCAGTACGTGAATCGAGAATTTCCAGATGTACAAGCTGGGTTTAGAATAGGCAGAGGAACCAGAGATCTTTAAATATATAAGATAACATTATACTAACATTTGACTGAAATATTATTTTCCTCCTGGCCTTCTTAAATCTTCCTTACGAAATCATTCTTTCTGACCAGAGTGAACTATTTCTAGAATAGTTCCTTAGTACTCTAACATATGTGGTTTGGGTCCTAGAATCTTAGAATCTCACCAAGGATATATAGTTCTGTCAGCTGATGCCTTGATCTTGCCTGAAATGTTCCTGCCAAATGGTCGCTCAGGCTGTGCATGAGCTCCGTAAGTGTTAAGAACCTCACCGCTTCCCAAAGCAGTGCATGTCATGTGTGGGAAACCACAACTATTTAAACGTTTTCTTTTTTCAACTGGACTGAAATCTCTTTTCCTGTTGCTTTCTCCTGTTAACCATAGTTCCAACTTGTGCACAATATGAGAAATGGAAGATAAATATTACTAAGATTTTCTGACTGTTTTCAAATAACTAAATATAGCCTCCTACCCTTTGTCTTCCTATATGCTTGGGGGTAAAGATTTGCATGTCCATCAACCCTTCTACATCCCTCACCATCCTGGTTGCCTGCCTTCTCAACTTTATATCTAGAATTTAACATAATTCTCTAATAGAGTGAAAATAATTCTAATATACTAGAATGGTGTGGATGTAGAGCTTAGTGGATTAGATTATATGCTTTAACATCAGAGATTTGAATTTGAGTCTCATCTCTACCCCTTTTAAGCCTTGTGATCTTGGGAAAGTTTCTTTGCTTCTTTGAGATGCCTTTGCCTCATGTTTTAAATGGGATTATGAAGCCTATTCCACAGGTTGTTATTGGAGTGTGGTGCTAAGTAAAGAGAATTCGAAAATAGCTATTTGAAAAGCAGTTTAAATCCTTAGACTTTTCTTCCTTGTCGAACAGATGAATAGTTGTCCCGAACACTCAACCAACTCTCACAACCTCTGGCAGAAGTCTAGAGATGTGTTTTCGGGAGAAGGTACATGGAGGGTCTCTGAAGTGAGATGCTAGCCACTGGAGAACGTGTTACTCTAGCCTGAGAATAGGCCAAGAAAGAGAAAGATCCAGGATATATTGATGGAAAATTGGAGGGTGGCAAAGAGACGTGTCCAGTGACAGCTGTGAGTACAGCCCAGAGTGTTGCAGAATGGCTCAGGACCCGCACAGATAGAGGCTTCCGTCACTGGCAGGATGGTTACCACATACCCTCTTCTTAATCCAAGGACAGAATGTTGGATACGCCTGACCTGGATTCTTAAGGGTGCTTGTCCTGTCTTGACCGTGTGTTAATGAAGTTCCTCCTTTCTTTTTTGTGTCCTGCTGCTGCGCCAGCTGAGAATACTCATTTCACCCCCTTAAAGTTTTGTGGTTGGAATTATCTCCTGAGAACTGGAGCTAGGCACCAGGTGGCTTTGAAGCCAAAAATAGAAGCTGTTCTGCCCTGGCCACATTTTTAGACAAGAGGTCCAATTTAGTTTAGAATGACATGAATATGTAAAATAAATAAGAAAGAAAGATAAGTCTTGTGTGCTAAGTGGTAAGCATTAATCTCCCTCTTCTATGACTTATAGTGAATAAGTTTTTGTATTTTTAATTATTTTATTCTCAAGTTATTCTCACTGTTATTTTATTTGCTTTTAGTTTTGGGCCGTGCCTCGTGGCATGTGGGATCTTAATTCCCAGAGCAGGGGTCAAACCCGTGCCTGCTTGCACTGGAAGCACAGAGTCTTAATCACTGGACTACCAGGGAATTGCCAATAAAAAAATTTTTTTAAGTAGTAAGTCCAAAGTTAATTTCAAAGACTTTGGCACTGGAATTTGACAACTTTTACCTCCTTTTAAGGCATGCATGCTCAGTCACATCAGTCAAGTCTGACTCTTTGCAACCCCATGGACTGTAGCCACCAGACTCCTCTGTCCATGGAATTTTCCAGGCAAGAATACTGGAGTGGGTTGCCATTTCCCAGCCCAGGGATTGAACCCACGGCTTCTGTGTTGGCAGGCAGATTACCACTGAGCCATCTGGAAAGCCCACCTAAGGCATAAATGAATAAAAATAGACATTCCAAGGAGACAAGAAAATGATCTGTGTCCAATAAAGTTTGGAAAACACTTTAATAAATTATGGGTGGCCCTTAAATACATGGGTTCAAACTGCATGAGTCTACTTATACACGATTTTTTTCCAGTAAATACATAGTACAGTACTATACAATCTGAGGTTGATTGAGTCTGCTGATTTGGAACTGCAGATATGGTGGACCAACTGTAAAGTTATGTGGGGGTCTTTGAATATGGGGCGGGCCAGCACCCCTAACCCCCATGTTGTTCAAGGGTCAACTGTACTGTCAATTTCTCAGAACCTTGAATATACTAACGGATATTGTTAATCTCCTAATGGGAGGCACAGTGTGCAATTGGCCAATCTTATTTGACTTTGAAACCCAGTTCTCACAAAACATCTTTTTCCATCTTAAGGGACACAGTGTTCTCCATAATGGTTTGGGAAATAATGATTTAGAATAAAGTGTGAAAGAAGAGATTTACTATTATTTTTTCTTGAAGGGAAGTTAAAAATGTTATCAAATCTTTAATTTTATGGAAAATAGGCTTACAATGCTTTTCATTTTATTTATAGTTTCTTGGTGGAAAAAAAAATTATATATAAGTGCTAAAGTGTCCTGGATCTCAGATGGGCTGGACTCAGCCTTGACTATATTTGACTATTGAGAGAAAAAGATTAGTTTTATAACTCTGAGGTACTTGTAGTTGGTTGTTCATTTTGCCATAATATTTTCTGTAAAAAAAAAAAAAAAGGAAAAAAATGAAGGAATCTAAGTTACAGGTTTCTCAGACTTTCTGCTTTAAATGTCAACTTAAAATTCTGGCAGTGAGTAGAAGAGGGTGTAATATTCTACTCATCTGTTCTCTGATAAGTGTAGTATAAAAATATATTAGGCAAAGTTTGAGAGTTAAGATGAATACTGATATTTCTATTTAAGTTCCTTTTTTATGGTATTACTGATGTATCATAGATCTTTAGATTTTCTTTATTTCCTGCTTTGGTTTTATTTGGGCCTATTGTGACTCTTTAACATATAAAATTCTAAGTAGTTTATGCTGAGGCCAGATAGAATTTGAGATTGTAAAATTATTTAAGCTATTACTTTTATTTGTATGTTGCCTAATCTTTGTCTTTAATTTCTACATTTTAGTTTCAACTGCGTCCAAGGGAGCATTCTCCTATTCTACTTCATCTGTGTCATCCCCTGATTCAGCCTCTCCAGAGAAGTCTCTTCATCCCTTACCCCCAGTTTTGGCCGGACCTTCCTTTTGGACTTTGTCCCGTCAACAATCTTCTTCTGCCTCTGTTAAAAATATAGATAAGACAGCCAGGATTCATCACTCTTTTGGTCCTAGGAGTCCATTGTCCTCCGATGAAAAAGAAAATGACAACCTCAACCTACTGGAAATTCTTCCAGACAGCTCTGATTCTGCCAAAAAGAAGACAAGTTCTATTTCTAGCAGTAATTGGGTAGCGTTTTCCACTCAAAATGTAGACCATTTCATCTCTATGTCCTGTTCCAGTTCTCAGGCAACCAAAGACCTGTCTAGGGAACCTGAAGCAGACAATTCCACTAATGTTCTTCTAGGGGAGGTAAAAAATGCCATAGTCACATTACATGAAGACCTGAGCATGGTGATACGAGAACTTAATGTCATCAGTAGTCGTCTGGTAAGCATGAGTGAGTCCAGTCCACAAATAAGCAAGTCTCTGCAGCTCCCCCAGTATTCTGAGGCAGGCTCAGATCAAGTCTAATTATCTCAGTAGCTATTTTTGTTAGAACGCGAAACATTTTATAGATTCTCATTGCTGCGCAAAAATAGAATGATAGTTTGATTTTTCTTTGTCAGGTTTATTAAACAAGTATACTTCAAACCAATAAATTTGTTTGGGTGGTTTATTTTTTAAAGATAAAAAGAATCACCTTTGATAATATTTTCAGATTTAAATATTAGTTCATTTGAAACTGAAGAGAATTTCATTCCTCCATGCTCTATACTTTACCTCAAAATAACATTGAGCAGTAGTGAAAGTTGTGGTAATACTTCAAACAGCAGATGACTATTTCAGAGTTCCTGGATAAATTGTCAGTAAGAAGCTTCTCATTTTCCATTAGTATGGAGCTTCATTGTTAACAAGCTTTTGCCTTGTCTTAGGAGAATTGAGTCTGGGGTATATGTTTCACGTCTTTTCACTTCACCTTTCAGGTTCTGCAAAAAAGGGCCAGAAATCTTTCCCTTCTTGTGGATGCCACAGTTGGTTGAGAGTTAAGTTCAGATAAGTAGGACATGAAACAGGTGAGGTTTTGTTGTTTTTGTTGTTGTTAGGGTATATGCAAAGTAAATTTAAATGTGTACTTTTTTCTTGTATTTTGGAAAATAAATTTGGTGGTTTTAGTCTTTTATGTATCTTTTTAATTCTTTAAGACAGCTTTTCAAATAGAACTGTCTCGATTATTTATGGGGGAAATGATCTGGTTTGGGGATTACAGACCACTGATTCTCAATCCTGCTGCAGATTAGTCACTAGAGCAGCTTTTGTTTTGTTTCATATTTATTTGAAAGAACAATGTAAAGGGCTCCATGTACCCATTGTTCAGTTTCAGCAATTACTAACCAAAGGCTAAAATCATCTCTGATAATTGAAGGAATATGAGACATTTTAAAAAGTATTCTAATGCTCTGGGTGCCGGTCCCAAATCAAAACTGATTTTCATCATGCAAACTGGGTTAAGAACTAGAGGGCACCCTTAGTACAGGAACATGGGATGAGGAAATAAGCCAATCAGAAGGCTGTTGAAGTTAACCAGATAAGAGCTGGATATGGCTCAAGCCAGGGTCAGCACAGTAAGGGTAAATGAGAAGTGATTCATCTAGGGATTTGCTGATGGGTTGGAAAAGAAGAGTCAAGGATGAATCCAAAGGTATTGGACTGAGCAACTAAAATTCAAGATGAAGTTGCCATCAACTAAGATGAGGAAGGTTGCAGATAGAAAAAAATTTAGGGACTTCCCTAGTGATTCAGTTGTTCAGACTCTGCCCTTCCACTACAGAGGGCATGGATGGGTTCTCTCTGATCAGGGGACTAAGATCCTACATGCTGTGTGGTGTGGCCAAAAAATAGAGGTCCGTCTAGTCAAGGCTATAGTTTTTCCAGTAGTCATGTATGGATGTGAGAGTTGGACTATAAAAAAAGCTGAACGCCAACAAATTGATGCTTTTGAACTGTGGTTTTGGAGAAGACTCTTGAGAGTCCTTTGGACTGCGAGGAGATCCAACCAGTCCATCCTAAAGGAAATCAGTCCTGAATATTCATTGGAAGGACTGATGTTGAAGCTGAAACTCCAATACTTTGGCCACCTGATGCGAAGAGCTGATTCACTTGAAAAGACCATGATGCTGGGAAAGATCGAAGGCAGGAGGAGAAGGGGACAACAGTGGATGAGATGGTTGGATGGCATCACCGACTCAATGGACATGAGTTTGAGTAAACTCCGGGAGTTGGTGATGGACAGGGAGGCCTGACATGCTGCAGTCCATGGGGTCGCAAAGAGTCAGACATGACTGAGCGACTGAACTGAACTGAACTATTATTTTTATTTTAAGTCATCCATGTTGTTAAATTTCACATGTCTATTAGATAACCAAGTAGAGATATCAGGTAAACAACTGGATATAAGAGTGAGTTTGAGAGAGATCTAAATTGAAATAGAGGCTAGTAAATGATTTTTATTTAAAGTTATGAGACTAGATGAAATTACCAAAGGAGTCAGTGTGATAGTGGAAAGAAGTTGAAGGCCTGAGCCCTGGGGCATTCTAACATAAGATCAGGAAGAAGTTGGGAAACTAAGGAAGTTGAGAAAGAGGCACCACTGAGGTAGGAACAAAACAATATTATCTGTGGCATTTGGAATCCAAAAGTTTTTCTCTTCTTGACCCTTTTCTATGTATATTACAGAAGCATCTTGTCAAGTTCTTTCCAAAGCCCTATTCAATTTTGAATAAAGTTGCATTAACTCTATTAATCAATTTGGGGAAATTTTTACAAATTTAATCTTCCAATCCATGAACATGGTATATCTGTAAAACCTCTAAAACTATATAGATGTTCTCTTCATGTTTTTCAATAAGCTCATTATTTTCCCCCCAAGAAGGTTTCTATTTCTTTTTTAAAGACTTAGTTCTTTGTTCTTGATATTTTTATGCTATTTAAGTGCTACTGTTTTACTAGTTTTATTTTTAACTTTAGAAGAGTTTATGGAAATATTCAATGTACAGCTGTACATTGCACATCAGTGTAGCCTTTACTCAGACTCACCAATTGCTAACATGCTGCTGTGTTTGCCTTACCTCCCTCTCTTGCTAAACACATCCATGTCTATATACACATTATGGAGATAAACACACACAGATTTTGCTGAACTACTTGAAAATAAATTTCAGATATCATGACACTTCACAGCAGAATATTTCAGTATACATATTGCATAAATTAGGGTAATTATTTCCCAACCTACCTTCAAGTTAATGAAGAAGGAATGAAGAGAAAGTTAATGAAGAGAAATCTTCAGCTATACATAATTTGGTGTTAATCTTCATTTGGTTTTCAATTCAGCTACTGTATTTTCCATTTCTATAACTCTACTTGGTTCTTGTAAAATTGGCTATATTGTGTTTCATAGACCTCTGTTTCTTATAGATAGTTTCAAGCATATCTTTAGTAGTAGAAATGGTAAGTAAACTAGTATAAAACTCTTACTGGTAAGACTAATAAGTAAACTAAAGAGTATTCTTGCTAGCAAACTATTAAGAATGGTCTAATGCATGCATAAGGCTATAAATTTTCCTTTGCATAACTGCAGTCCACAAATTTTTGAAAATTGAGATATAATTTCGGTTCAGTTTAGCTCAGTCTCTCAGTCGTGTCCAACTCTTTGCGACACCATGAACTGCAGCACACCAGGCCTCCCTGTCCATCACCAACTCCCAGAGTTCACTCAAACTCATGTCCATTGAGTCGGTAATGCCATCAAACCATCTCATCCTCTGTTGTCCCCTTCTCCTCCCACCTTCAATCTTTCCCAGCATCAGGGTCTTTTCAAATGAGTCAGTTCTTCGCATCAGGTGACCAAAGTATTGGAGCTTCAACATCAGTCCTTCCAATGAATATTCATAGTGGTTAGGTAAATCATGGCCATTGCTTGAAGTTTTCTAGAATAATCAGGTCAATCTCAGGCTTAAATTCCTCATAAGAGATGGTACATTTCAAATTCATTCTCAACACATAGCCATTTGGTTCCACTTCACCATAAGGAGTATCTCCTGTTAAATGCCCCACCTTATGTGAAGTAATTTGTTCCCATCACCTTTCAAGGCCACCAAAATGAAAATTGGATTTGTTGAACTCAACAGGTGCCCTTAGAGAAAAGTGGCTTCTGCAATCATTTGTCTATCAGGTTTTTATCTCTTTCAATGCCATAAGACTCTATACCAGGCCCTGAGGATACAGTGCTGAGCAAAATCAGATATAACTTGTTTTCCAACAGCTTGAGTTCTAGAATTCTGGACAACTTTGACAGATTAATCAAGTTGTTTTTTTAAAATGTGAGAGACTAATAGTTCTGGGAAATAATATATATGATTTGATTGGTGAAGGAATTCTTTACGGAAATAACTTTTCAGCTGAAATACAAGTTCCAGGATTATTGAAATAAATGCCACTAATGACATTTGGGCAAATAAAACTTCTTTCTAAAATAAAGCAGAGCATAAAATAAGTATGAAATCATAAGACACCTTCTATCGGCTTTCCTCATCATCTGGGAAAATCCACCAATGGATTCTTAAAGGATAGAAAGATGCAATATCTCTTTTTTGTAACAGCTATAAAATTTCTTAGTTGTACATTGCCAAGAGTGAAGAAGAAAAAGCTTCCAGAGATACAGCATTCTTCCCTTCCCACCCCCATCACCAAAAAGTGCTATATCAGACGTCTTGGAATTTACTCAGAGAAACCCCACAAATAACTGAGGGAATGAAAACTATCCTCTTGAGAAACTACCTTACTTACTATACGCTTATTACATGCACATAGTAACTTCAGATTTTAACTAGGTTTTACATAGCTCATATATTTTCATTCAACCATTTGTTAATTAGTATAATTAACAAGCACTTATTTCAGTTTCTATTTAGCCCAACTCCATTAAACCAATAGAACAAACTTGGCTTAAGTTAGGAGTGGGTATGTTCTGATTGACTTCGTAATTATCTCAGATTAAAAATACTTCATTAGATGTTATTCTCTTAAGCATTTTACTTGGAACTTGAGGATCTTATTATAAGACAATTTTTAAATATTTTACAGTTTACTTACTGTCAAATTACTCATGTGTTCATTCTTTAAATATTTATTAAGCACCCTTTATAAGTAGGCAGTTTCCTAGACATTGGAGATACAGTGGTGAACAAAATGGATGCAGTCTTGTCTTCAGAGGCACGGTTTGGTGGAGTCACAGACAGATCAATGGGTAATGAGAGTGTAATGTGTTAAGTCCTGTGAATTTGGGAGGCAAAGGATGGTGTGGAGAGCCTGGTAAAGAACCACAACAAGCTCTAATCTGGGGTCAGGGAACACCTCTCAGAGGAAATGAAATCCAAACTGATTCCTGAAGGATAAGCAGAGTTTAGTCAAGCAAAGGGAGTTAGGGTAGAGAGAACAGCATGTGCAAAAGCTGGGAGCCAGAACGAGAGTCTGAGAATAGGATTACGAACTGGTGGGTCAAAAATGTCAAAAAGTCTACAAACAATGAATGCTGGAGAGGATGTGGAGAAAAGGGAACCCTCTTACACTGTTGGTGGGAATGCAAACTAGTACAGCCGCTATGGAGAACAGTGTGGAGGTTCCTTTAAAAAATAGGAATAGAACTGCCATATGACCCAGCAATCCCACTGCTGGGCATACACACCGAGGAAACCAGAATTGAAAGAGACACATGTACCCCAATGTTCATCGCAGCACTCTTTATAACAGCCAGGACATGGAAGCAACCTAGATGCCCATCGGCAGACGAATGGGTAAGAAAGCTGTGGTACATATACACAATGGAGTATTACTCAGCTATTAAAAAGAATGCACTTGAATCAGTTCTAATGAGGTGGATGAAACTGGAGCATATTATACAGAGT